GATAAGGAGGAGGATGCGGAGGAGGAGGAGGAGAAGGAGGAGGAGGAGGAGGAGAAAGGGATTCGGATGCTATTTGCTTTGTATGGTTCAGGCCTACTAGGAGCTATCGTGACTACGACTGGACGTTTTCGAAATCCTAGTCGCAGCGGGCTCCAGGAAAACATCGGAGGGGGGAAGCAGAAGCACAGATCGTTTGCATAAACCTTTCGGCGGCGCCTCGGAATGAGAATCGGCTCGCTGGGACAAACCAGCCCTCGATGATGACACAAGTTCCTGGGGGGAGGGGGCACGTACTGCGTGAAGCAACACGACATCGAAGATTTGCCATCGGGATTTTGTGGAGGAGGAGGAGGAGGAGGAGGAGGAGGGGAAGGATAAGGAGAGGGAGGAGGAGGAGAAGGAGGAGTAGGAGAGGGGATGGGAAGATAGAGTTGCAGCGAGTGTTGTTCCTTGCGGTGTACTTGAGTGGCCAAAGGTCGCCTGCGTGAACGGCGATGCTATCCTGCATCGGTGCCGTGTCAGGCAGTGGCATTGTCCGTGCATGCCCACCGATTGCCGTCCTGTGTTCAGGAAGAAATTGTGTGTGAGCTCAGTAGGTCAGCGTATACTTACCTATACGACCACCCTTCGGATGACAAGGAGGTTGTGGGGGGGGAGGGAACCAATGTCTCACTCGATCGGTCTTACTATCGATCTCACTGCCGCTCCCACCACCGATCTCACTGTCGGTTTCGCTCTACCGATCTCATTCTATCGATTTGAGTATATCGATACACCACGGCGGGGCAACCGCACCACCGCCAGACCACTGGAGGACGGACCGGTCAACGGCTGTTGACCCGCCCTATGTACAGCGAGGTTGGTCTTCTCGCCCGCCCAAGCAGCATCGCCCCGCCCGCACGTACGACACGAACCCGAAACCGAAACCGATTTCACGGTGAGGGGCTCTCCGTTTCATTGCGGTCTCACCCCCGACCTCCAACAATACACGGCATCTCAATCTACATACATGGATAGCAGTTCATATATATATATATAGAGATATATATATATATATATATATATATATATATATATATATATGCTCACACCCCCTCCCAAGATCTACCTTTCCCGTGCCCTGTTCCAGTCATCCCCTCCTCCTCATCTTCCCTTCTTCATCATTTTCTTACTTCCCCTCCGTTGTCCCCCCTCCTCATCGTTCCCACTTGCGTCGTTTGCCCGTGGCGAATAATGGAGCACAAGTGAAAACCATCTATTGCACGGGGTATTTGAAGTTACCAGCGCCCCCGAACTACAGCTGACGGAAGAGAAGAAGGGGCGTAACGCTCCAGATCACCTTGGGGCGAAATGCTCCAGCCAGATGCGGGGCGAAATGCTCCAGGGGGCGGAATGCTCCAAATCACGTAGGGGCGAAATGCTCCAGCCAGATACGGGGCGAAATGCTCCAAGGGGCGTAATGCTCCAGATCACGTGGGGGCGAAATGCTCCAGATCACGCGGGGGCGAGATGCTCCAGCCAGATACGGGGCGAAATGCTCCAGGGGGCGTAAAGCTCACACCAGTCGGAGGCAAAACAATTCCAGGCCAACGAGAGACGAAATGCTCCAGGGGAGCGCAGCAATACTGTTTGATCCTTATCTTGGTCCTCCTCCACTTCCGCGGTTCGTCCCTCTGTCCTCCCCCGCCCCCTCTTATTATCCTCCAGTCTCCATCGCTCCCGCCTTCTCGCCCCTCCTTCCTCATCCACACCAACTCCTTTTGTTTGTTGCAACGCATTCTGGCCCGAGCCTGCCTCGACGCAGAACTCGCGGCGCAGCTTCCACACACCCGCGCGGCAGCAATGCCGATGATGCTCCGCCTCGCCTCCTGGTGCGCCGCCAAAGCGCAACACCCCTTCCTCAACAAGCCCAACGCCGACATGACGGCGGCGGCGGAGCAGTGGGGCGTGGTGTGCGACGGGGTAAGCGGCGTCGCGCCCCGCTTCAACCCGGAGGACCTTTCCTGGGACCTCCGGAACTGCCTCCGCTTCTTACTCCGCGAGCGGTTCCACTGGGCCTGTGACAAGCAGGAGTTCGACGCCCAGGTGGTCCGCGAGATCGGCGGGGACGTGCGGAGCATGGCCACGGACGCTCCTGCGGCGTGGGCAGCGAGGCTCCTGCAGACAAACATAATAGCACACGCACACGCCGACATTAAACAACAAGCATGACAGAAAGCCACAAGCTCACAACAGCAGCCGTGCTTGATGAAAAACAAGTCGTTACCGCCCTCCCTGTTTTCCTGGCCGCGACACCTTGGATTCTTTCGGCAAAACGGCCACTGCCGCAACCGACGCGTGCATCCCGACCGCCAGAGACCCGAACGAGAGCCACGAGCTCCATAAAGCAGCCGTAGTTGATGACAAAACACATCGTTACCGCCCTCCTTGTTTTCCTGGCCGCGACACCTTGGATTCCTTCGGCAAAACGGACCACTGCCGCAACCGACGCGTGCATCTCGACCGCCAGAGACCCGAACGAGAGCCACGAGCTCAATGAAGCAGCCGTGCTTGATGAAAAAACATATCGTTACCGCCCTCCTTGTTTTCCTGGCCGCGACACCTTGGATTCCTTCGGCAAAACGGACCACTGCCGCAACCGACGCGTGCATCTCGACCGCCAGAGACCCGAACGAGAGCCACGAGCTCAATGAAGCAGCCGTGCTTGATGAAAAAACACATCGTTACCGCCCTCCTTGTTTTCCTGGCCGCGACGCCTTGGATTCCTTCGGCAAAACGGCCACAGCCGCAGCCGACGCGTGCATCTCGACCGCCAGAGACCCGAACGAGAGCCACGATCTCAATAAAGCAGCCGTAGTTGATGAAAAAACACATCGTCACCGCTCTCCATGTTCTTCAGGTCGCGAGACCCTGGATTCCTTCGGCAGAAAGGCCACTGCCGCAACCGACGCGCGCATCCCGACCGCCAGGGACCCGAACGAGAGCCACGAGCTCAATGAAGCAGCCGTGATTGATGAAAAAACATATCGTTACCGCCCTCCGTGTTTTTCTGGCCGAAAGACTCTGGATTCCTTCGACAAAAAAGCAACTGCCGCAGCCGACGCGTGCGTCTCGACCGCCAGAGGCCACCTGCAAACCAAACCAGCAACGCACGCACACACCAAACACAACAACAAAGTAATCACAAGCCGCAACAACATAAAACTGCGAGGCTCCTGCATCTCGCCATCCAGACCACTACGCTGCACGGCTCCACCACGGTCGGGTTCTTTTCGGTGGCCGGCACCAAGATGTCCTACTGCCACATTGGGGACGTATCCATCCAGGTGTGGCGCAGGTCGGCCCTCACGGGAAGCTACACGCGCTGCTTCATCACCAGAGACCACCACGTCCGCATCGCCACGGAGTCAGGCGAGGTGATGGGCCCGAAGCAGGTTTCGTTTTTCCTTGGCGTGAACAGGGCGGGCGACGACTTGGAGCGCTCCGTGGCGCAGGCCGACTACGGCGTTGTCCAATTGAGCAAGGGCGACATCATTATATGCTGTTCCGACGGCATCACTGACAACGTCCCGTACGATGCCATGAAGTTCGTGCTCACGCGCGCAGATTCCGACGCGCAGGCCGCGGCCGAGCAGATGATCGAGTGTGCGCAGATGCGCGGCGCGCCCAAGCCCGACGACATCTCGATCGTAATCGGCGTCGTCGGGGCTGTGTGAGAGAGCGAAGGCCATGAAGAATGCCTTCCGCACCCTCCTCGTCGTCCACCTCCTCCACCGCCCTCACCTCCACCTCGCCCTCGTCATCGTCATCGTCGTCGTCGTCGTCGTCCTCCTCCTCCTCCTCCTCCTCCTCCTCGCCCTCCTCGCCCCCCTCCGCTTCCTCGCCAGCATCCGATCGGCCCAGTGGGCGTACTGGCACGCCAACGAGGTGCATCTCGACCGCCAGAGACCCGAACGAGAGCCACGAGCTCCATAAATCAGCCGTGCTTGATGAAAAAACACATCGTTGTCGTTATTCTTACCGCCGTCCCCGCGGGACCTGGATTTCCTTCGGCAAAAGGGCCACTGCCGCAACCGACGCGTGCATCCCGACCGCCAGAGACCCGAAAGAGAGCCGCGAGCTCAATAAAGCAGCCGTAGTTGATGAAAAAACACATTGTTACCGCTCTCCTTGTTTTCCTGGCCGCGACACCTTGGATTCCTTCGGCAAAAGGGCCACTGCCGCAACCGACGCGTGCATCCCGACCGCCAGAGACCCGAACGAGGGCCGCGAGCTCAATAAAGCAGCCGTAGTTGATGAAAAAACACATTGTTACCGCTCTCCTTGTTTTCCTGGCCGCGACACCTTGGATTCCTTCGGCAAAAGGGCCACTGCCGCAACCGACGCGTGCATCCCGACCGCCAGAGACCCGAACGAGAGCCACGAGCTCAACGAAGCAGCCGTCGTTGATGAAAAAACACATTGTTACCGCCCTCCTTGTTTTCCTGGCCGCGACACCTTGGATTCCTTCGGCAAAAGGGCCAGTGCCGCAACCGACGCGTGCGTCCCGACCGCCAGAGACCCGCCAGAGACCCGAATGAGACCCGCGCGATCAATAAAGCAGCCGTGCTTTATGAAAACATACACATCGTTACCGCCCTCCTTGTTTTTGTGGCCGCGACGCCTTGGATTCCTGAAGCAAATCGGCCGCCGATGCAACCGACGCTTTTGTTTCGACAGCCTGAAGTCCAGAAGAGGGCCGCCGGCGAGTCCGAGCAGCCGTAGCTGATGAGAAAACATATCGTTGCCATTCCCCCCGCCCCCGTCGCCGCCAGACCTTGGATTCCTTGGACAAATGCCACAGGCACGAAAAAGACCAATCAGAAACATGTAGTAGCAGCTGTACGTGCTGCGGGATCCTGGGTTCCGACAGACGTGCCATTTTGGCTCAAGGCGTCCGCCGCTCCTGCGGGCAACAGGCGCGCTGACGTTGACACCCTCCCCTGCAAGGCTTCCAAGCGATGGCCGCCCGCGGCGTTGTCGCCGAGGCAGCCAACGTGCCCGCCCAAGGCATGAAGTCGCTCGGCGTCCACATGTGCGTCGAGGGCATGACGAGCGACGTGCTCGTTGCTGCGTGGGATAGGGCGAAGAACTTGAAAAAGGCCACCCCCCTTGGCAAGCCGAAGATCGACGGCAGTCTCGACCGCAAGGGCTCGGTGGACGTTTACGACCTGCCCGTCAAGCCATGGAGCGCTCGCGGCAACGCCTCCATAAAGTCCGTTGTCGACATCGTCACTGACGTCGACGCCGCCGAGATGGCCGCTGTGGACTGGGCCAAGGTCAAAGACATTATGGCAGAAGGCAAGTACAAGGAATTGCCGCCGCCGTTCTGCTTCAGCGACCCGGAGGCAGAGCCCCCTTGCACGATGAATCTTGCCGTCGCACAGAGAGTCGCAGACGGACTCCCAATCGTCGTGAAGTGGATTCAGTTCATTGGCGGGGAGAAGAGCCCCTTCGTGAGGGACAGCATTATCCGCGGCAACATGCACGTTTTGGACTGGCGCAAGGACGTGTTCAACTCTGCCCGCACGATGCAGATCCTGTTCGAACGCCTCGGTGGTGTCCAAGCGCGATACTGGGAGTTCGTGAGCGCGCCCGCGCCCAGAGCTGGCGGCGGCGACGTTGACGTCGATCAGAAGAAGAAGGAGCTCTCGGCGGGCATCCAGCACATTAAGGACGAAGCCCCACGCACAAATGCTGACTGCGAACAGCTGGAGTGGGTAGAGTGCGAGCTGGTGGACCCTTCGTCGCCAATTCACAACCTCAGGCGGGAGCTCATCAACGCGGTCCTCAAGGTGCTGCGGGACCGCGACCATTTCGCCAACAAGCTGGTATACTACCCCATCCTGCTCCCAGATGTCCGCGATGAGTACCAGGGCGCCATGCGGCGCGCCATGGAGATGCTGGACACCAACACCGTCCTGTGCGTGGGCGAGGCGGGCTTCGGCAAAACGCCGTTCATGATGTCGATGGCCATGGCCAGCGCCAGGCACAACGCCGACGCGGAGAACAGGGCGACTGGCCGCGCCGACGCGGTGGCCGCCGTGCGGACAGCGCCCGACATGGATTTTTTCCGCGGTGAAGTCGGGCAGCGCTGGGTCCCTTGCATCTTCGACGACGGTGACCTGGCGGAGCAGAGGCCCAAGGTGTTGAAAGCATTCTTCGACACCACTCAGGCGGAGGCCATGACGTACGTCAGGTGGGGGGCGGCGAAATTCGTCCGCGGGCAGGCCCGCTTCGGCGGGGAGAACGAATACGACGCCAGCGCAGCGCCGACAGCTACGCAGTGGGCGCTGGCATCCACAGGCGCCGACGCCGCCCAGAAGACGACCGCCATCCTGACCGACATGCTCAAGCCAACGTTCCCGAAGAACTTCTCGCCGAGCAATGTCGGCGCTATGCTGAAACGCTGCACCGTGTTCTTGAACACTCCGACTGACATGTTCTTCAGGCTCGCTGGCACCGAGAGCCGCGTGGAAAAGCTCCCGTTGATGGATGGGTACCTCAAGCCCGAGGCGGGCAAGATGCTGCGCTCCTACTTGGCCCGCGGGGTCATGCGCGACGAGGAGGAGTTCGACAGGGTCATGGCTTACGAGAAGAAGATGGTCATGGAGATCATGGCAAAGCGCGGCGTCGAGTACGGCGTCCCCGCGGAGGCTGCAGGCCCAGTGGGGGAGCCGGCCGCGGGCGCTGCCGCGCCGCCGCCGCCGAGCTCGGCTGGGCGGATCTTTCTGGGCGACCAGGAGGGTCATGCGATTGAACGTGCAAGCCGCCCCCCCCCCATTGCGCCCCCCCCCTGGCGCCATTCCCCCATGCTACTTTTTCGCTCCAAGGGATTCGGGGTGGTGGCGGCTTGCGCGTCCATCCGCCTGGCTCGAGGAAGAGGAGGACCCGTTCGGCTTGGGCGGCTCCATGATCGGCGAGCAGGCGGAGGCGCCCGCGGCCGCCCCTGTCGTGCCGACGGCGCCGATTAAGCGGGAGCCTTCCAATGTCTTCAGCCGCAACTTGCGCCAGAACGGGCCCGTCGAGATCGACCTCTGCAGCCCCTCCCCGTTGAAGAAGAAGGTGAAGTTCGAGTCGGGCACCGTCCCGCTGCAGAAGGTGAAGCTCGAGCCAGGCTCCAGCGACGCGGTGGGGCAGGACGAGTTCGGGCAGAAGCCGCCGAAGCCGCGCAAGCTCTCCCTTGTCTTGGGGGACATCATGGCTCATGAGCTGAACGGCGCGGCGGGGCTCTCGCCAGACTCTGACGTCGCGACGGAGCAGGGCGCCGTGTCACTCACCCAGGCTCTGGAGGAGGTCGTGGATCAGGAGCTGAGCCGCGCGGCGGGCCGCGGCGGCCCGTCGAGCAGCAGCGGCGGCGGCCGCGCGGTCTGAGGCCTAGCGGCGTTCGCTGGGCGCGTTGCCCGCCGCGGCAGGGCGGCGCGGGGGGCGGGGCGGGGTCTCGGGCGCGTAGATGGGGCGTGGGCGGGAAGAGTTGCAGTGTAATTTCATCGCCAATGCGACGCATTGGGACGGGGCTGACAGCCATGCTATTGCAGGGAGAGAAGACGCGCGCAGAAACCTATCATCTTGACATCCAGGCCAGCTGTCGCAAACCTTGGGATGAATGCGCGCAGCACGTGATGCCATCAGGGCGGTTGTCTCTCACTCTCCCTCTCGTGGCCAGATTGGCTCGACGTCTGCGATCGCGCGCCCTCGGCTCCACCCTGAGCACTCCGCATACTTGACGACCAATTGGTCGAGCGAGATGGCCGCCAACGGCGATGCCCGACGTGAGTGCCAGCGCCTCCAGGTTCAGTTTGAGGCGGGCGTCGACTCGCTCGCGTACCATCGCGAGTGGTGTTCGCTGAAGTACCAGGCCTTCCAGGAGTTGCTTCCCCTGTGGCAGGCGCGTTCTCTGCTGCATGACGATGTCCGTGCGCGCGTCGCCTCTTTCCTGGTCCCCACTGAGCCGTCGTGGACGTGGATTCCACGGGCGGCGCTGGTCCGCGCGGACAACGACCCTGTGCTGCCGTACGTCTGCTGCTTAGCGAGCATGGCCCGCGGGTCTCGAACCGACCGATCGGCGGCCGCTGCTCTGGGCTCGGGGTGCATATACATACAGAGAGAGAGAGAGAGAGAGAGGAACAAAAAAAGCGCCAGAGAGAGAGAGAGAGAGAGAGAGAGATAGAGAGAGAGAGAGAGAGAGAGAGAGAGAGAGAGGCGGGGAAGGTAGCGAGGGATGGGGCGCGATCGATAGCGAGCCGACGCACCCCTAAGGAACTCCTCCACTGGATGCGCCCCGCCGCGTTGGCGGTCGGCTTCCCCGCCGACGCCGTGCCCGCCTCGCAGGAGGGCGCGCGGCTGCGGGTCAAGTGGCGCTTGATGGAGATGCAGATGTATTGCATCTACGACGAGCTGGGGGATCCGCCCTCGGAAGGCGCTGCCTGATCGGTTGCCGATCAATCAATTGTTCGATCGGGGTGGTCGGGGCATTGCCTGATCGCCCGCGCCCGCGGGGGGGTGGAGGGGAGAGCACCTCTCGGGCGTGTGAGTGGATATAGACAGTGGGGGATCCATCGGCCGCGGTCGATCGAGGCGCCCGTCTGGGCCTCGGTCGTTCCCAAGGACGTCAGGGCGAAGATGGCGACGCTCGACAAGACCATCGAAGGGCTGAGCCGCATGCGGCCGCGGGCGACGTGGGCGTGAGCCAGGCGCCATTGCCCGCCGCGGAGGCGGCGCGAGTTGGGCGGAGGGAGAGGGGGGGGGGGGGCGGGGGCATGGGCGTGTAGATGGGGAGGGGGCGCGGAGATTGACATTTCAGTTTCATGGCCAATGCGACGCATTGGGGCGGGGCTGGCAGCCAGCAGTCACGGCATCCCACGCCGATCACGTGCGGCGTGCTGAAACGCCTCGCCCAATCGTCATCTCCGCCTTCTTCGCTTCCGCCGTCGCCATTGCCATCGTCGTCGTCGCCCTCTCGTCACCCGCTGCTGATGCCAGGGTCATCGCCGTTTGGGGCCAGGGCGTCTGGGAGGAGCCCCGGACGCGCGTCTTCGGTATCGGGGCACATCGCCGACTTGTCGGTGATGCATCGCCGACCCCGTGTCGTCTCTTCCGCGAATTCAGGAGGCAGTTTTGCAGGTCGAGCAACCAGCGTTCGTTGGTGCATTGTTGTCCATTCGCCAGGGCGCACGAGCTATGCCAAACCTGCGCGCCGCACATGCATGCTCAAGCGCATCGGCGCGCCAGGGGATCAGGCGCGCCTGCCCGTTCCTGGCCAGGGTCGTCGGCCAGAGCCGCGCCATGGCGCCTGGGCGCGTCTTCCCTGCGCCTAAGCGGGGCAAGGCGCGCGCTGTCCTCAAGACGGGGAAGCCCAAGCGGAAGGCCCCGAAGCACGCGGGAAAGACAACGGCGAAAAAGACGGCGCCAAACCAGAGTGCGAGGAAGGTGCCTTACGTGCGGCACGGCAAGAGAACTTGCACGTCCAGGCCGGAGCGCGTTGCTTTCAAGAGGAACGCGTTCGATTTCATACGCGCAAGTGACCGCGAGATCGTCGACATGTTGCTCGAGGACCAGGTCTTGGAGAATTTGGAAGGCCAGACGTGCTCTTTCTGCACGAAAGGAACCCTCGGCCCCCTGAAGGACGTCCAGGGCCGTGGACCGCGGTACCGCTGCAACCACAAGGGTTGCCAGAAGTTCTCCTTGCCCCAGAGCGGGCGCATGGTCTTCAGCAGCGGCTCTGGCGTTGCCGCGGTGCCCTTGCAGGAACAGTCTGCCGTGCTTTTCGCTGTCGTGAACAACGTCCCCCTTGCCAAGATCCATGCGCTCACGGGCAAGAACCACAAGGCGATCGAGAGCATGAGCAAGTTCAATGATGCGTGCCGAAAGAGCGACGTGCAGCAGCAGGAGAAACTGATTTCTTTCGGAGGAAAGGGGCGGACGTGGAAAGATGTCGAGGCCGATGAGGTCGACCTCAGGGGCGATCTACTGCCTGATCACGCGGAGCGAGCTGAGAACGAGCGGGTCCAGTGGGAGCAGTGGGGCGGTGTCATCGAAAGAGGCAATCGCAAGACATTGGTGTTGACGCGCCTCAAGCCAAGCCTCACCAAGCAGAGGGCGCCAGGCCCAGGCGCGATACGCTTGCCTGATTGGACGCCGTTCGCTCACAAGAACTTGAGCAACAGGAACGTTGTGCTCCACACGGACGGGGCAAAAACGTACAAGGTCAAGGTCGAGGGGATGCTCCACGACCACGTCGTGCACCAGAGGAAGCGGCTCGTGAAGAATGGCAAGCCCGTGAAGAAGAACGGCCGCCAGGTGTGGGTGAAACCCACGTACGCCAAGAAGTTTCAGCATAAACTTCCTGGTGGACGAGTCCTCAAGTGCAAAGGCGGGACCCAGATCATCGACAGGTTCTGGCAGCACTTGCGCGGCTTCATCAAGACCAGGAAGAGCTCCGTTGGCTCGGTGTCATTGAACGCCAGGGTCCGATCGGCCCAGTGGGCGTACTGGCATGCCAACGAGGACCTGTGGCTGGAGACTGGCAAGATGTTCAGCCGCTTGAGGGGGAAGTAGCTTGTAGACCGCAGGCTTAGGGGAGCGCGGCAGGGCGCTTATGAGTAGGCGAGGCCGTGCACGCAACCAGAAGCGCATTGCGCAGCAGAGAAATCAGATGTTCAGCCGCTTGAGGGGGAAGTAGCTTGTAGACCGCAGGCTTAGGGGAGCGCGGCAGGGCGCTTATGAGTAGGCGAGGCCGTGCACGCAACCAGAAGCGCATTGCGCAGCAGAGAAATCTTGAAGCTCACGAAACCTGGCCAGGCGTTTCTCCTGTCTCGGAGCTAAGGAAACTTTGCCAAGCGTGGTGTTTGGTTTCTCTCTAGTCTGGTGGCTCGCGATACCTGGAAAGTCGCTGGTTTTGATTGGTTTGCTGGTCTGGGAGGCATGAGAACCTGTGATTTCATTGGTTTTTCTGGTTTTTCTGGTCTGGGAAGCAGGAAAACCTGTGATTTCATTGGTTTTTCTGGTTTTTCTGGTCTGGGAAGCAGGAAAACCTGTGATTTCATTGGTTTTTCGGTCACAGGTTTTCCTTCCCCCCAGACCAGAAAAACCAGAAAAACCAATGAAATCACAGGTTTTCCTGCTTCCCAGACCAGAAAAACCAGAAAAACCAATGAAATCACAGGTTTTCCTGCTTCCCAGACCAGAAAAACCAGAAAAACCAATGAAATCACAGGTTTTCTTTGCCCCCAGACCAGAAAAACCAGAAAAACCAATGAAATCAGAGGTTTTCCTGTTTCCCAAACCAGAAAAACCAGAAAAACCAATGAAATCACAGGTTTTCCTTGCCCCCAGACCAGAACCTCTGTCCGAGTTCTCTGCGAGGTTGTAACGGTAGTTCTCTCGCATTTGAGCGGCTTTGCGCCAGCGAGGAAGGGGCGAGGAAGATACGAGGAGAGACAGACAACTCGAACGTTCATTTGAAAACCCACCAAAAGGTAGATCTTGGGGGGGGGTGCGACCATATATATGTATATGTATATGTATATGTATATGTATGTGTATATATATATGTATATATGAGTAGACCGCGGGGTCCAAAATCGGTGTCGTTATCCCCATGGCCGCCCCTCCGAACGTTTGGGGGGTCACAGACCCCCCGGGACTGCCCCGGGCTGCTTCCCAATTGCCCACGATCGGCCACGCGGGCCGTACAGATGATCAAGAAAGCCTCCAGAGGCCCCAAAGACGCCCAAGAGCGCCCCAAGAGGGCCCGAGATGGCGTGAAGATGGCCGAAGAAGGCCCCAAGAGGGCCTTCAAGAGGTACACATCTGCCCATTTCCATAGCAAACGTACATTTTCAGCATACGCGCTGGCTTCGTCTTCACAGTGCCCCAGACGCCCCTGCGGAGCACCCACACAGCCCAAGAGAGAACCAAGAGGGCCCCAGACGGCCCGAAAGGGTCGGCCCGTGGGACTCACGGAACCCCCCGAGACGGCCCAAGAGGCCCCGAAGCCGGCCCAGGAGGCCCCCAAGACGGCCTCCAGGAGGCCTCAGGGAGGGCCCCGTTCGAAATCATGTTCCCGGAATCTTCTCTGGGAACATAATTTCCGGGTTCCCAGGGCCTCCTAGAGGGCCCCAGGACAGCCTCAGCGAGGCCCAAGAGGACCCGAGATGGCTCGAAGATGGCCGAAGAGGGCCCCAAGAGGGCCTTCAAGAGGCAAAAATTAGCCCGTTCCTGTAGTAAAACGTACATGTTCAGCATTCTCCCTTGCTTCGCCTTTGCAGTGCCCCAGACGCGTTTGAGGAGCCCCAAGACAGCCCAAGAGAGACCGAAGAGGGCCCCAGACGGCCCAAAAGGGTCGTTCTGAGGGCCTCACGGAACCTTCCAAGACGGCCCACGAGGCCCCGAAGCCAGCCCAGGAGGCCCCCAAGACGGCCTCAGGGAGGGCCTCGTTCGAAATCATGTTCCCAGAAGCCTCTCCGGGAACATGATTTCCAGGTTCCCAGGACGCCCAAAGACAGCCCCCAGAGGCCCCAGACACGCCGAAGATGGCCTCAGGACGGCCGACGACGCCGCCAAAACGCCCCAAGAGCGCCTCCAGAGGCCCCTCCAAAGGGCCCCAGAAGCCGAAAAACATGCATGTTCCAATGGTTTTTGAGGCATTATTGCGCTCTCCCATGTTCCGCCTCCCCACGGTCCCGGACCGCGTCAGAGGCCCTTCAGATCGCTCCAAGACGGCCGAAGAGGCTCCCAAGAAAGCCCAGAGACGGCCCAGGAAGCTCCCCAGTCAAGTCAAGAGGGCCTCGAGAGCGCCCCAAGAGAGCCCCAAGAGCGACCCAAGAGGGCCCGAAGAGCGCGACATTTCAAGGTCTCCGGCCTGAGAGGCTCCTAGGACGCCCCCGGAGGCCATCAAGAGGCTCCCAAGAAGCCCCGTGAGGCTCCCAAGAGGCCCCCCCGAAGCTCCAATAGGCCCCCAAGGGGCCCCCAGGGAAGCCACCTGCGGGCCCCCAAGACACCTCGGTAAATCGCATTTCTCATATAGCTTCCCGGGAACATGATTCCTTGGGCTTCCGCCCACCGTCCCAACCATGTTTATAGGCTTGCCGACAAGGCCAAAAGGCGCCCCTCGGGGTAAGCCCCCAGAGGCCCCCCTCTTTAGAGAGCCGAACAAATCATGCTCCCGGAAAGCTACCCAGGAACATGATTCTCTATCTCGGAGTAGGCCCAGGGGTGGGCGGGACGCTGCCTGTTCCCCCCATCGGTGCCCACCGGGGGTTGCGGGGGGGGGTCCAGAGGTCCCGAGGCGGCCCGAGCCCGCCCCGAAGCAGGCCACGACAGGCTAAGGGGGGTCCCGAGAGGGCCCAAGACGGTCCCACGAGGCCCCGAAGACGGCCAAGATGCCCTCAAGACAGCCGACGATGACTCCAACACGCTTCAAGACGGACTCAAGAGGCTCCCCAAGAGGGCCCTGGGAGGCAAGATTCGCTCGTTTTCCGAGTGTTTTGGATGTTGGCGTTCTCGCTTTTCCCGCTTTCCGGCGCTCTCTCACGGCCTCGGAGGCCCTTCAGATCGCTCCAAGAAGGCCGACGAGGGCCCCAAGATGGCCCAGGATGCTGCCCGGACAACCCAAGTGTGCCCCAAGAGCGCGCCAAGAGAAGACCCAGAGGGGGACCGCCAACCGATATTTCGAGGTCTCTGGCCCTAGAGGCCGCCTGTAGGCCCCCGGAGGCCACCAAGAGGCTCTCACGAAACCTCGTGAGGCGCCCAAGAGGCCCCCAGAAAGCCCCAAGAGCTCCCCAAGGGGCTCCCAGGGAACGCCCAAGAAGTCCCCCAACACACCCCGAGAATCATGTCCCCAGAAAACCTTCCAGGGACATGGTTCACCACGGGCCCGAGAGTTCCCGGAGGCCCCCAAGGGGCCCCCAGGGAACGCCCAAGAGGCCCCCCAACACACCCCAACAAACCATGTCCCCAGAAAGCCTTTCCGGGGACAGGGTTCATCATGGGCCCGCGAGTCCCCGGAGGCTTCGAAGTACCATCATGCTACAGGAGTGCTGTCTGGGAAGTTGATTGGGAGCATGACTGATCGCCTTCTCGCGGCCCTCCGCAGATCGTTTCGCACAAAGTTGCCACAAGTGTCCTCTTGAACCGACGACGGCGACGACGACGACGACGACGAAACGACGAATCGACGACGACGACGACGACGACGACGACGACGACGACGACGACGACAACGACGACGACGACGACGACGACGACGACGACGACGACGACGACGACGACGACGGCACGCCCCAACAGGCTCCCCAAGACGCCCCCAAACCCATGCTCCCAGAAGGCCTTCTGGGAACCTGATTCATACGGCCTTCTCCCCCCTACACAACCAGTTTCCTCGAAGGCCTTTCGAAATGCAGATTGACATGCGTGGACTGTGGTCCACTACTTCAGTGGAGCAATGAATTCGTCAAGGTCTGGGGCCGCTAGAACCTGAGCGTGCGCAAAGCGCGCGCGATGGTTCTAGTACGTCTATATATATATATATATATATATATATATTAATGTCTGTGTCCTTGTAGGCACCCTTACACGTCTCAGCACACCAGTACATGCATGTGCATATACACACATACATACATGCATGCATGCATGCATGCATGCATGCATGCATGCATGCATACATACATACATACATACAGACATACGTACCTGCATACATGCGTACATGCATGCGTACGTACAGACATACATACATACACACATGTACACATGTATATACATGTATATAGATATGCGTAGATATTTATATGTATGTCTATATCCCAGGGGGCGCGGGCGGCCAGGGCACCAGAGACCCTTTCCCCCTCTTCGCCTGCAGACCTCCCTTATCCTCCTTCTCCCTCCCCCCGCCACTCCAGGGCGGGCAGCTTGTTTTCCAGAGCCGTCGCAGCAAGGTTCCCTCCGAGCACTTTCTGGGCCGTGGCCACTTGCTAAAAGGAAGGCGCTCGACGGCAGTTTCCGCATGCAGGATCAACGGCAACACATTGGAAACGTAATTCAGGACGGCCCATTCGTTCAATAAATATCCTTCCTGGCCGTTCTCATCCTCCTTTTTCTCTTCCACCCTCTCCTCCTCCTCCTCCTCCTCCTCCTCCTCCTCCTCCTCCTCCTCCTCCTCCTCCTCCTCCTCCTCCTCCTCCTCCTCCTCCCCTTCTATCCCCCTCCTCGCCTCCATCCCCCTCCCCTCCACCCCTCTTCTCCCCTCCGTTTCCGCTCCCCCTTCAACGCTCATCCTCCCGTCCACCCCCATCCCCTCCCTCCTCCCCTCCCAGTCCACGCTCGTCCTCTCCTCCCTCCCCCTTGGCCCCTCCCCTCCCCGCCTCCCGTCCCGCTCCAGCTCCCGGTCCCCGGCGCCTGCGAGGACAGCCACCGCCTGAGCAGGAGGTTCGCCCCGATCCTCTTCGCCAGGCCCAGCAGGCCGGCCACGTGGCCCTGCTCGCCCACCTCGCCGTCTCTCGGGCCTGCCGGGCGGGGCCGGGGGACTGGGAATGCAGGGGGATGAAGGAGGGGGA